GTTGCTTTCTTTTCCCCTCCCCTACACCTAGAGAGAGCCAGTACATCCAGTGCGTAGGCCCTCTTTCTCCAAGGTATCTCCCAGCAAACTGAGGGCTGCTTGCTGTGGGGAGGAGGTCTGACATGTCAATGCAAGCTCTCTATTTCTGTGAAGACCTTGCATTTTCTTCTCTGCTCTCCTTCAGGCCTCAAAACCGATCTCACTCCCAACTTCAAGTGTTGGCACTGGAAACTTTTGTGGTCTAAAGTCAATTCTTGGGTGCAGACAGTTTCACAGCGTCTGAGCATCTTTCAGAGATATGTTGTTTCCACAGACATCAGCAGGAGGTTTCTGAAACTCTGAAGAACAGGAGCTGCTCTTTGTCTGCCAACGAAGCATTTCTTTCTTTGTGCTTTGACACAGCTTTACCTCCTCAGCTCAGTTTTCAAACATTGAATTCATCTTCCTAGCTTGGTATGAGCACTGTCGGCACCTTCAAGCCTTTTGAACCTGATTGTTGTGGGTGTTAGCATCTTGGGCACTTGGCCCCTGGGGGTTTGTACCAACACAGCAGGTTAGTGAGACACTGGAGATGGGAATTCAGATGGTGTTGGTCCTTTGTCTTCCAGTTGTTTCCCACTACCACGATAACTTTCCATCTTGGCCTTGATTGAATCATACCAACTGTCATACATCCTGACTCTAGCAGATGGATAGGGCTTTAAAAAGGCTTTAGGCTGGGAGGTAGGTCTCTGTGTGCCTGGCCGTATTCATCACTGCTATGCTCAGAGCTGTTCCAGTGGTTGTCTGAAGCTACTTGATGTGCCTGGACGGTCTCCGCACTAGACTCCTTTCTTGAGACCAAACTATCCTAACGGTTTGGAGGGTTTTGCCTGCTTGGCTTTTACCCATTGTGTTTTTCCAACCCCAAATCACTCCTGGGCTCCTTAGCAAAACTTAGTGCTTCAGGTTAGTTTCTCACATGCTGTGACATGACAGCTCCTTCAACCTGCATCTCGAGATCTGTTTTTGTCAGGAAGCTGTTTGAGATGCTCTTTGACCTCTTTTCTACCTGTCTCTGATGAGAGGCGCTTCTCTTGGAGCGATTCAGTATGGTGCCCCTGAACTGATTGCACCTCATTTGTCATCCTCATTTTTCTTCACAGGATGAAGCTGGAAGATGAAGTTAATTTGTCATAACGTTATCACACCCTGGCCTCTTGCCTCCATTTAATGGGCACAGAATCAAGAAGAGTTATTTCTGCTACACCAAAATGATTCCTTATGCTTATTTTATGTGTAACTGTGCTAGCCATATTAATATGTTCTCACTTCCAAAGACGACCTGTCAGTGACTTGTGTTTTTCAGGGTTTGGCATGTTTATACTCGCAGTCTAAGGTGGTGATGATTCATTCATGCTCCAACTTCTTTATCTTGTCAGCATCTACCTAAAATTATAACATAGCAGGAAGGCTAGAAAGCAGACACTGAGGGCACTGGTAGAGTCTAGATATACTTTTCCTTCTTTTCGTAGTTTATTTTTGTCAGTGTCTTGTCCTTTTACACTCTGTCCATGAGGCAGCACTCAGGGTAGGAATGGCACAGGGCCTCCTGCTGCTAACAGGTCTCCTGAAACAAAGCCTTGGGCCTCGAACTGAGGAGCTGAGGGTCTCCAGGTGGTCCCAGCACAGTGATATGGCCAAGTTCAATGTTGGCCTCAGTGGTGCTTGCTTGATTTGTATCACCTGTGGCCATATTGGAAACCAGTGGTCTGGAGACTTGGCAGGTCATTTCAGATGTTTTGTAAGGTCTACCACAGGTTTTCGGTGTCTTCAGAAACCCCTTTGCTAAACACCTGAGTAATATTAAAATTGGTCGGTTGCTGCCGAAGCCTCCTTGTGAAGGATTTTGGAGGACAGATGCTAGATTTTGGGAGCATTTCCGAGTTATTAGGGAAATGGGGATGCATTAGGGATGGAGAGAAAGGGTCTTGTCTTCTGTACCTACAGCTTAAGGGCATGGATATAAGCACCAGAAATGCTTCCTTCCAGAGAGGAAAGCCAAATACATCATGAAATATTCCTGAGTAAATCTGAATGGATGGATACTGTCATGAGCAGTAGAAAAAAACTCTGTAAATAGAGAACACAGGCTGTTTTTAGCAGCAACATGTGGATGAGTAGTACAGTACTGGTGTTCACTTTAATTTTTAATTCAGAAAAACTATTGCACACAATGAGAACACCACTAGCTTGTTGATTTTCAGCTTCTGGCTGCCTTCTGCACTTGCAGAGATATCTCCTTTTGATCATGCTTCAAACAGGAAATTTCAGTCTCCTAATCCCTGTCCCACAATCGGCCCTGTGGGAGTGAACCTGTGAGTCTGCTCAGAAGCTCATTGAACTCGTTGGCATCGCCCTGGCCTTGGACAGCTTGGAAGATTTGGGTAGCTCAGCAGGGCCTATTAATGTGAACGCAGTAGCTGATCACAGGTGCTGGTTTGTTCTGGCAGGGTCTGGCTCGTCCTCCTGGCAAAAAGACTGCAGAGCCCCTGCCCTCCGATCATCTGCTGCTGTGTGCTGTGTATTACAAAGCCAGGAGAGCCTTTGAACAGAAAATTGCAAGGGAAAACCTGAAGAAGTCAAAGAGAGGAAGAAAAAAATCCTGATTTTTAACTTTAGTTTCTCTTGTTTGTTCCACAGCAGAGTCTGGTGACCAGGACGAGCACGGCACACACCTCACGCGCGCGCGGGCCCCGCCGTCTGTGATCGATAGCCACACCAACGTTCCCACCACGGAACCGTCTCAGAACCTCCCTCAATACCTACCTCCTCCTGCCGAGGATAACCTAGGTCCTCTGCCGGAAAACTGGGAGATGGCCTACACCGAGAACGGAGAAGTCTATTTTATAGAGTAAAGCTCATTTTTGTTGTTCTGTTGCTTCTCTCTGGGCATAAGAAAACCTCTATGGGTGCACTGTGTGTGTAAATGTATTAAAGATTTAGCATATACAATTATGTAGCAAAGCTAAATGTTCTTTACTCTATGCAGTGTTTTTGCATTTCCTGGTTGGTTCCCATGCAAAGCAGGACCAGTAAATTCAGAAGAGGTGCTCCACAGTCTTTACTTGATAGCTACATGCTGTCTGTAGCTTTAAGGTGATATTGATTTTTCAGACCATAAATAATAATCTTTAATTATATTGATTCAGATAGGAGTAACTTTTATCTATGAGATGGAGAGACTTTTTTCACATACTTTATAGTTTAGTTATTCATTAACATTCATTAAAATAGTATTTAAAACTCAAGCTCTCAGCTGCACTAGTAGAGAAAGGGGCGAAGGACAAATTTTAGTTTTGAAGGTCTGTTCTCAAGTAATGCAGGAAACTGTCAGTCTCCACCTGTGTATGAAAAACCAGGAACCAGGTTGTTTAGTACAGAGGAACCCCCTCTGCTAACACCTGTGCTGGCACCCAGGAGCATTATGGTGTAAATGGGAATAGTCCATCCTCTAGAGAGGGACTTCCAGATGGGGTCAACAAGTCCTGAGGAAAAGGTTTTTCCATAGCTGCAATGGCAGGGGATCACACCAAAAAAGAGTGACAAAAGATGTTTTTTCCAGGCCGCTCTCAATCACCCCACACGCAGAGCAGATGTTTGAACCATCTTGTCCCTCTGAGTGTATGATCAGAAAGATGTTTAGCTAAATTTTCTAGGCCTCAGCAAACCACGGTGCTTTGAGTCTTAAGGTTCAAGAGGCAATTGCAAGAAATGTGCAGATATTCCCTTGCTCTCCTCCCACCATGCTCTTTTCTCAGCTAGACTACAGACTTTCTTATTTTTAAGTTGGCAGAACCCCTCGGCTTTATTGCTGTTAATTTGCCCGACTTGCTGAATTTCTGTCATTCTGTTTTCTAGTTAGTGATTAATTACTCTGAAGTATAAAAAGGATCAAATGAGTTAGTTCACCCTGCCTTGGGAGGGCTGGGTAGCAGAATGTGTAAAACAAGGACCTTTTATTGAAGCCCTCAGAAGCAGGGCAGTCTTGTGGTTTTTGCAGTAAAATTGGAGTCCACTGGTTGACACTTAGTTCTTAGAGGATCATAGCCTTTGTAGCAGCTTTTCCTGCTTTCTAAGGCAGTTGTGAGGCTCAATTTAAGATTGTAAATCTCTGTAAGACCTGAAAGGAGAGGCATGATACTGTAATTCAAAACTACTAAGCAATGTTGAAGGCTAAGCTAGAAAAATGAGATATCCGGAACAGGAGGGTTATCTTGGAGGGTCAGATGCTGTGAAGTCGGAATAAAAGGCATTATACTGCTAGCTTTTCTGCGTATGCAAATCAAATGATGGGAGGAAATAATTTCTAGAATATTTGTTTAAAGGCTGTTTGCTGTCACCCCTGGGATGGGCATTGGATACAGTCAGGGGCCTTGGAAGAAAGGAAGAGTTGAAAGCAAAGTTGCTCAGCTTCTATCAAAGGCTTTGATGGAGCATTTTTGTTTGTGCAATTGAAAGTTTTCCCTGGAAATTTAGATTTTTGACTAATGCTTGGGTTGTATTAGAATAAATGTCAGAGGTCTTTTGAGTGAGGACCTTTTGAGAAAGGTACCTTTTATGGAGGAAGGGAAAATAATTTTCTGTCTTATCATCAGGAGGCAAAGGAAGTAAAAAACTATAAATGCTGAAAGTTTGGAATTTACTTAATAATTAATATTTCAACTTCTACATGTACCTTCCTAGGTCCTAATGCTGACTTTTATGCGTTATCTTCTTTACTTTTCACCGCTGTTGTATGAATGCCAAGATTTTAGTGATTTGGTAGACTAGTTTACAAAGTCTCAAATTGTAATGCCATTTCCTCTGAAGGAAAAGTATGCCTTCAGGTCTTTTGAATAGTAAAGAGGATATATACTTTTATGTCATGGGTACTGCTGCTCTCATTTATTAACGAAGGTCATATTTCCATTTTTGTTTTCAGCCATAATACAAAAACAACATCTTGGCTAGATCCACGGTGCCTGAACAAACAGCAGAAGCCTCTAGAAGAATGTGAAGATGATGGTAAGAGCCTGAAAACAGTGTAACAGTGAGGTGTTCAATCCGTTTTGAAGTGCCTTTTTCCCTTTCCTCTTTCCCCTTTTCCATAACCTGTCTTCAGAAATGCTAAAGAAGTGAAAGAATTTATGAGTAAGAGCATAGAAATTATAGGTAAAAACCCTGCCTGTGCATGTAAGATAGCCATCAAAACGGTAATAAAAATCAGAGGTGCTAGAAGTAAGAAGAGTTTCTGTTTCTGCAAATGCATTTGATTTGTTGCTGGTGCTGAACGAGACTGTGTTTTGGACACGCTTGTCGTTTGGATCCAGGTGGAGGAGGAGAGCGGCCGGGTCTCCACGTGCTCCCGTGTGTTGTGTTCGCCAGTCTGCTTTATGTGAATCGAAAGATTTGTGTTGTTATTTCCTTGTTTGAGCAGAAATAACTTAATTGCTTCACTTTTAATGTTAAATTCTGACAGTCCACTTAATGTTGAAATTGCCAAGGACAAATTCCATTTGAAATCCCGGATCTGTAACCCCCAGTAACTTCCACTGATGTGATTTTGTATTCCTTGAGATGTTGGAAATGCAAGCCACTGTCCAACAGAGAGCAGCCACGTGCCTGCCTGCTGAAAGAGGATCTTTCCCTGCATCCTGTAAGAGGCACTGGTATAAGAAAGGCAATCACGATAAGAATATAAACATTTGGGGAAAAACTATTTGCAAAGTTTGATCTGTTGATCAAACGAAGTGATGATATTTTAATCCATAATTTTAGCTAGCACAATACTAGGATGGCAGACAGATGGAAGGTTTCGATTAGTCAGTGTTGATGCTGTCCTTGTGAAGTTAATTTTCAAAACATGGCCAAGCTCATCCTGATGTGAGTCAATTTCTCAATGAGTTATGATTTTACTTGGCGAAAGGATCAGTGTAGTTCATCAATGTTAACTGCTAGGTGCAAACCTGGCCTTCGGAGCTGCTGCTGCTATTTTGCACATGACGTCTTTGTCGTCTTTCACATGTGAGAATTTGCAGGATTTGAGAATTTGACTGCGCAGCCTTAATGCTCCTTGCAGAAGGCAGAGCCTTTGAAACCTCTTGTCCCCATAGCAGTTATGAAACAAATATTGGAATCATTTATTTAATTAGGATTGTAAACATACAGCCGAGCAATTTTTCATATTTAATTAAGTTCATAATTCTACAGAGTAGCAGTATTTTTGTTTATCAGGTCCTTGCATTCTGCTAATTTCATCTTCCCACACAGCCATTCACTCCATTCACTAAGCTGCTTAGTAATAAATATTTTTAACAGTAGTTAAGCCAACCTTTTCATAGGTACAGCAGTGCACTGTACATTTTGGCTGTTCTGACGTTGCTTTACGCATTAGAATAATTATATTTCAGAAAGGAATGTAAGCACAAAGAAGAAATAAATTTATTTTCTGCTACATTATGTAAGTTGGCCATTTTTTGGCAAGCATCACTGCTGTATTTCCACTGAAGTCAGTGGGACTGCTGTCCTCTGTGTGGTTGTGCATGTGTGCGTGTTTTCAGGTTTGATCCCATGCTGTTTATGGTTTTATGAGCGTGAGAGATCTGTTCAGACTGCTTAGCTGTGGCTGCCTCGTGTTCTTCCCTTGTCAGCACACTTGTCTCAGACAAGTTATTGGTAGTTCCCGGTTGTTTAGGCTATCAAAGGAGATTGCAATCCATAATTCACACTGATGTTCCTAAACAACTGTTCTGGCAGAACACACAGGTCATGGAAGAGTTTTTAGGTGTCCAAATGCTGTGGCGCTACATCTTCTGTTTGCTTCTATCATTCGTTTATATGGCTTACACTTTGCTGCATTAGCTGAAAGATTGTTTTTACCATCTCCGTTCTGATTTTGTCATCATCTTTCATTTTCTGACTGCATTATTGTTACTTATAGGCTGAGCAATACTTTAATCATCTGTGTCCCTGTTAACTTATGAATATGGAGTAGTTAATGATAAATGGAGCAACAGTGAATATTGATGGCTTTGTGTGTTTCTAAGATTATGTGATTTTTCGTCCCAGGTGTCCCTCTGAAACCAGTGCATACTTCTCTATTCCTCACCAATGCACCTGGTCTTCAGTAGGAACCTGGGACTCCAGTTGAACAAGGCTCCCAACTTCACATCTAGCTTAAATCATCTGAGCGATTGCCCTGAAGCCAATTCACCCTTATATGCCCAAAAATGTAAATATCTTCTTGAATACCTTGCTACGTTAGTTCTTATTTAAATGCAAGGTTTTCCTCTCAGATTTCTTCATTAATACTCAAGTCTGGCCTTCTGATAAATGTGTGTGTCCACAGAATGGATTGCTAAGATGTGACCACGCAGATCTGAGAGAAACGTCACTACAAAAATGGGAACAGTGCAATGGGCCACTTTGCCATATCAAACGGTAACATGACCGTGGTCCATTGATATAGATAATCCTCAGAAGTCAAGAATTATTTCTTTCATAATCTACATCAGATCCATCAATGTTCTGGCTGTTAAAATGTGATAAACTGAAAGCTTTGGCTAGATCTGAAGAAAATCAGTGCTGGTTCTGCTATTTGCTCTAGGGAATTTCTTGCCTGGTGCTGGTATCTGAAATTTTCTTTTAATTTTTTCTGTCTCATTTACTGCTCTTCCCTTGGAGAAGAAGGGGTACACACGGAGGAACTGGACAGTGAACTAGGTAAATCATCCATCTCTCATTTTGATGTTTGACTTCAACTGCACTGTTTTAAGCCTTTAATTGCTTATCTTCTCCTTTATGGCATTTTGCATCTTTCAGGCTTTTATTTTAACCAGATCCTGGCCCAAGAAGCATTAGTCTTTCCATAGCTACAGATCTTCAGTAACTTTCTTACTAATTTAGAGTTTGAAAAAAAAAAAAAAGAGTTAAAAGTGAACCTTAATCTCGCAAAGTTTGTTCAAAATTTCAGCTCATTGCTGAACCCTGCAGCAGTCAAAGTTTTTCCATTGACATTGCTGTCTCCAGGAAACAGCCCACTGATGCCAAAGTTGAGATCAGACCAAGTATCTAATGGTGTCTTTTCAGGACTAGGATCTAAGACATTTCTCAGACAAGCAAAGCAACATGAGATTTAGGAAGTTTAAGCCTTATGTAGCTTTTGCTGAGCTAGGGAATGAAACAGTAAAACTTTTTTACTGCAGTCCCTGGCTTTGTAAGCAGCTGATTTCAGATGATGTGCTACACTTTTATTTGCTGCATCTTTTAGGAAGTGAAGAATGCTGTCTTAATATCTAATCTCATCGGTGCTTGTTCTGTTTATGCTGATAGTGGAGGTAGTTGTTATTTCTGTTCAGCTATGCTCTAGTGCACTTGGGAAGCTGAAGGGCAGAAGAGGTTGCGTAGGATTTTATTTCCACTAGGTCTATTATTGCTTTAGAGAGGAATGTATTTACAGGTTATAGTTCTGCATACTGAAGGATTGTATTACCAGAGAATTAACCTCTGGTTTCTGTAATGACTTGCAAGTGTATTCTGCTTCCCACTTCGCTGTGACAGATGCATCATCAGGAGCCAGCAGTTATTGCCTGGACTTTTAACAGTACTGGAAGAACAACTCTTACGGATGGAAGTTGGAGGCCTAATGTATTTTAGAGCAAGAATTTAAGAATTTAACAGAAATTACACTTTGAAGAGAATATAATCACCAGAGCTTCATGTCAGCATTATGCACAGCCCAGACAGATGGTCCCCAGCAGACCAGCTAGCATCAGGAATAAGTGGATGCCTACCAGTAGCCTGCAGGTGTTTTTCGTGGAGGTCTTCACAAAGGGTGACCTGGAGTAAGAAAAAGGGCAAAAAGCAAAATTAGAAGCAATAATAAAAGAGAAATGTCACCTCTTTTTAATCTGATAGCATCCAGTGCAAGAGAAGAAGGGCAGAAGAAACAGGTTCAGGGAGGGTCATTAGCTGATAAGGTTGACCCTGGTTCTGCACTCACTCACAAGTGCTTGGCACCATGAGATGTTCCTTGGTTTCATTGCAGATAAGCCTTATTGAGGTCACAGCCCATAGATGTGTTGCTGAGATCTGCAAATATTGCAGTGTGAAGACAGGCATTTTCAAATGGCTCAGTTGGTTACAACAGCATGAGTGATGGGGCATGAAAACATATGGCCTGTTCATTAACTGTGCTCATGATTAGCATAAGCTGGTTGTTGCCAGATATTTAGCTCCTTTGTTTATAAAAAATTTGTTTTCTAAGTAGAAAAAATAAACCTGGAAGTATTTGTATGACTTTTTTTTTCCTCTTTTGAAAGAGGTGGATTTAATATGTAGTAATAGATTACTTCTCTCTTGGCGTAAGGTTGTAGAAAAATACTCAAAAATTTACCCTCTGGAGTAGAATTGGACATAAGTGTGGGCAGATCTTCCTGGACTGAGCTACACAGGGAGCAGTAAGAGCTCAATATACTGAAATCAGCTCTAGCTTCTTTGCAGTGATGTACAGGATGTGACTAAAGTCCCTGGTGGTTAGAGAAGTTCTTTTTTGAGAATCCATCCATCCCTTCTGTAGGGTAAAATATTTAACAGGAGGATCTCAGCAGGAATTCGTGCATTTACCACATGCGTAAAAGTATATGATTTAATATTTATCCATTGAAGTTACCTGCTGACAAGTATTTTGAATCTACAGAGTGCTTCATGGATATGCCAAAGTAAAAACCATATGGCTCCTAAACACGAAAAATGTTTTTGGAAACCTTACATTTATAGTACGGTCTGATGTTCAGGGTCATTTTCAGTTTGTCACGAAAAGTAAAATAGGTAGATGAATATTATTTTAAAGCAGCTAAGGTGTGAGTATACACAAGGTGGCTATGGAGAATACGGACCAACCTTTTACTTTAGAGAAATTTCAGAAGCTTGTAAGTCTGAAAGCACATCTACATAGTCAACAAAAATTGGTTGAAAGCAGCAGTTTGAGGGTGTGAACGTTTTCTGACCTTCCATGAGAATACTTTAAAGGAAAGAAAAAGGAAGGAAAAAAAAATAATTATGAAGAGAAGGAAAGTAAAATATTTCTGTTTGAGCTTTAAAATTCAAGAACACTTCACAGTCCAAACAATCTCATTTTAAGGCATTTACATGTTATTTTTCCCTCCATTCAGTTTTTTATTTTTTCCAGCTTGGTTTCTTCACCATGCAGCTTTCACCATAGTGCAAATTAGGAATGAAATGGCTGCCACAAATTATGATTTTTCTGAATGCTTTCTAGGTCATGATTTAATTGAACTGAAACTCTTCAAATAAATTCTACAGTGTTTTTACCATATGAGAGTCCTTTGCAAATCAGATGGTTCACTTAGCAAGAACACTCTCAAGATTGACCTGTAGCTTTTTAACTTCTGCTCACGTATAGACTTCCTTCTTGCACAGCACAGAGGAGTGATCTGTTTTCAAATAATTCATTTCAGATTGGTCTGTGAATATAATTGCAAAGTATTTTCATGCCCAAAAGTTAGCACTGGCTTGCATTTAGTTGCTTATGTCTCAAGGAATCCAAAGACATTATAACTGATGAGCACTAAAAAATGAGAATGGAAACCTCTCTTCTATTGGCAAAAAAGGGACATGTGGAGCAAAATCCATGAAATGAATTTCATCTAATCTTCAGCCAATTCGGAACACAAACATAAACTTTGAGTAATTAATCCATGTGTGTTTGTATAGATTCTGTTCATCTGCAGTCTGGAAATATTTCAAGCCTTATGGCAACATAGCCAGAGACTATAAATACAGAACTAGATAGTTACATTTATTCAAATTAATGGGTCATTATTGATTGTATGGGCTCACCAATTGATGCCATTAATGAAAATAAATCTTTGCCTTTGATAATAAATAAGCACTGATGATTTACTATTGGTTTGTCAGTTTAGTGATATCTTTGAGGAATTATTTTTGCAGGAAATACTTGAGCAGGCAGCCTGTAAGCTTGTCTTATCTGTCAGTGGCTTCCTCATTACTTATGTATTAAATGTGTAGAGTCTGTGGAGCAGGGACTGAACTTGCACAGTCCATGGCATGGTGAAGCCTTTTGGACTGATGCACAGATTTCCATGAGAATCCCACTTCTTTTTTAAGACAATTTATTTCAGGACCTGCAGCTAATGGGAATATAAAACTGAGTGGGGTAAGGATCAAGCCCCTTAAGTAACACCTACAACTGTATCAACCTGAAAAATAAATGAAGTGATTCAATTACATTTGCTAATTATAGTTAAAATGCTTCCAGTTTAGAAAATCAACAGAACAAAAATGGATACATTTCCAAATGTTAATTCCATCTTCAGAGCTGTTTTTTGTTTGCTTGTTAATTATGCTAATTAAAAAAAGGAAATTGCTGTTACATGTGATTATGGAAACATGTATTTTTATACTGAAAATTACGCATCAAAATGTGCCTGTGTGTAGAAGCACTCAGGAGGCTGGTTGCCATCTGGGGCTGTTTACATTAAATTCCCACTGTCCAATTACCAAAGTGCACTTTTACATTGAGATGGGGGCTCTGCAAAACAATGTAAATCCCTAAGAAAGGTGTAGAAAAAATAGCCTTTATCAGCAGTGGTGAGCGTGCTTGGCCTAGCCCTGGAATAAGAGATGAAAAGTTTGTCTGCCAGAAGCTCTTGCCATAATCTCACCTGTATTTCTAGGCTGACACTAAAATCTCCTGCCTTGTAGCCTGTGCCCACTGCAATGTTTCTGCCTCTGGCTGCTGTGCCCAGGGCAGTCTAGCCAGGAGGAACTTGGGGAACTCCCAGGCAGGAAACTTATTGATCGTTTTTTTCATTTAATGCAAAAAAAGGGCAAATCTAAAATTGATGGGCTTCTTGGTGATTTGCTAACCCAGCACTGGTGAGACAACTTACGATGTTGAAGTGCCATGCCATGCTTTAAAAAGGAGACTATGGGCATCCTGAAAGTTGGGTTGGAAGTCAGGTGTGAGCTACTGATGAATTTTATGCCTTAAGGAAGAGTGGGATAAAATCTGCTTCAGAAGCTTCATTTTTTTTTTCTGTTTCCAGAATTGCCTGCTGGTTGGGAGAAAATTGAGGATCCCGTATATGGTGTCTACTATGTAGAGTAAGTGTCGCTCTGCAATGGCTGTTGGCAGAGAAATGCTTTTTCCTGTGCGAGTCCGGACCCCTGTGTTGGTTGCATGTCCTGCCGAGGAGGAGGAGCAGCAACCACTGCACCTGTGTGGACAGCAGGGCACCCAAGGGGGCCCAAGGATCTACATCTCAGACCTTGCCTGCACAGGAGCATCCTCGAGCTCCTGCAACCCAACGTTGCTGGTGGGCTCGGGGGAGGCAGGAGCATCCTAGAGTAGAGCTGAGCTCAAGGGAGTCGGGGCATCCTGGCGTTGGGATGAGCTCGAGGGAGGCTGGAGCATCCTGGGGTCAGGGGAGCACTTGGGGAATGAAAAGAGCATCCAAAGTTCAGGGTATGCAAAACCCCAACACGTTGCTGCTAGAAGGTCTGAATTTCCCCGTGAATTGCTGCTTTTTCAGTAAAGGCCCTAATTTGGAAAAGTGGAGGGTGATCCTGACTCCTACTCCAAAGCAGAGTACTCTTTAAGATGAGATACATTTATTCAGACAGCATGAACAAGAGTGCAATTAACTGCGCATGATTCCCTGAATGTTACAAAACTTGAGCGGGCAAAGCAGACCCCCAAGTTAGTTGTGAATAAGAAACACTCAAAAGGAGGAGCAGAAGCATCAGTGCAGCCAAATACCCACCAGGCTGTTGGCCTTGCGGTGTGTTGGGCTGTGCAGAATTACAGGTTTAATGCGACTCTCTCTGGAATTGGAGCAGCTTCTTTTTTATCTACACGACAGAAATGCTCCCTTGGGAAACCAGAGATCTGAGTTTTGTTTCAACACTGACCCCATAAAATGAATTTTTAATTATGTGTATATTCCTGTGTAGTAGCATGGCTTATGATAGCCCTCAGAATAGACACAGAGTAGAGTTTCTGTCTGCTTGGGCTCATTTCTGACCCTGCCATCAGTGCCTGGGGAAACAAGGTTAGCAAGCTGTGTAATTAAGGCCTGGCATTTATTTACCAAAGACATCAAGAATATTTTTCAGCTATTAAATGTCAAGCCAAGAGGTCTCTCCAGCATTTTTCGTGTCGCTTTATAAATGTGCCCATTAATTTTGTGGCACTCCTCAGTGATGAAGTTAAATAGAAAAGTAATGGCAAAGAAACCTAAGTTTATTCTACCTATTATCTATTAGGTATTTACTATCTATCAGATAGTAGGAAGTGTACAGTTTAAATGTTTGCATCTCTCCTTTCCAACTGAAGCACTCTTTCTGTTCACTTAAAGGTTTTCATTGCGAAACTACTATAACCACCGAGCATTAAATTAAATCACCTTTTAGATTTACAAATTGCAAAAAATCTCTTGCAAAATTCTCGAACTTGTTTTTAGTTGCTTATTTGATGTATTTTTCTAGAGATTTATTATTGGTCTTTAGCAGAAATATTCTAAACAGAACTCAGTACTATACTTGAGTCAGAATTATTTGGTAATTTAAAATTTTTAATAAAGATGTGGGACAAGAGATGATAGAAGTTGTTGTTTTTAATGGCAAGCCTTGCCTTGCACACAAAAATGTATTTTCAGCTATTACAATTAAGCCTACCAGGTCCTTGGTAATAGGAACGGTTTGCAGTGATGGAGAAACTACTCTACTCTGTGCTGAGAAATTACAGAAATTGGACATGAACATTTTTATCCTTTGCTAACCTGCTCCTTCTCTAAGTCCTAGATAGAGAGATGCGTGGCTGTATATAGCCATTTCAAGCTATCCCTGCAATTAATGTCAATAAATAACTGATGTTGTATAGGGACAGATTAAGGGTTGCTTTTCTCTATTTTGAAATCCCTTTCCAAATGCTCTCTTTTTTCCTGGGGGAGCCAATTCAGCAGTGGTGTTCCTGGTCATAGGCCACTATAATTTGCTCGGGGCTGCCTGCTACCTGCTTCTTTGTCATTGCAAAATTGCTACTGAGTGACTGCAGTGGGACCGAATGACTGATGAACTGGGAATCTATTCTGCCCCATCTCGTGATGGTGGTGATTTGGTTTCATGCAATGGTGAATCCTCTGCAGAGTGCTTTGCTCATCTGTGTTTTTCAGCGTTCAAGTATTTCCCTAAAATTGGTAAAAACTGTTAGTGACAAATACCTCATTCTGGGTCAAAAGCAACTTGAGGCACCTCCAAAGAGAACAGTAGAATTTTCACCAAACACTGGTTTCAACTGGGAATATTTCCTGGTGGCTAATTCTGTATACATATATATATACACACACACACACACACACACACACACATATATATACGCTCATCCAGAGCCCAGCTTTTCAGCTTCTAGCCTGCATCCAGGTAGATATATTTCAGACACTGTTAAGGGTATGCATTGATCATGTAGCTGACAGGTGTTACCAGTTGTTGGCTTCTTCTTTAACTTCAGTGAGCCAGGGAATGACTGCACCTTTGGGAGTCGGATTAAAGCAGCGTTGATATAGACCTGTCTTTTAAAATGCAATCAGACAGAGTGCCTTTCCCACTTTAATCTAACTTTTCCCAGATAAAAGGCTACTTTAATATATTTGAAAGAATTGGCCATTCCTAGTCAAGATATCATATCAGTACTGCAACCTGCTTGTTTTTCTAAATAAGCCTTTTGGCAGAAATGGTGAACATTGCTTCACATGCTGTTGTTGGGTTAGTTTGCTGCGTTACCCCTTTCCTCAGAGGAGTTTTGAGCCATGCCTGCCATTCCTGCTTGTCATCGAAAGGCTTTCCTAATTTACTGCTCTTTTTCTTCTTCAGCCACATCAACCGGAAGACACAATATGAAAACCCCGTTCTTGAAGCTAAGAGGAAGAAACAGCTTGAGCAACAACAACCACCACCAGAAGGTTGGCCCTAGGGCAGGCGTGATGGCTGGGGTTTTTACTGGGGCACGTGCCATTCCTCAGGTCGAAGGCCTCATGCCGATGTGTTTGCCCTCCCTTTCATAGTGTTTGAAGGCAGTATGGCATGCAGAGAAAAGTTTGCATATGCTCTTCACAGAAGGTGTAGCAGAGTTGGGTGTTTTTGAGCTGTAACACCTAAATTTTGATTAATTTGAATCACTTTTTTTAATACAGCCTGACTGCGTTTGGTTTGTTTTGGTACCTTTGTAACTTTCCCATCGTTGAACAATTGTTAGGGTCTAAGGGAAGATACTTTAGGCCTCGCTGTTCCTCCTGAAGCCCCATTTTTTGCAACACCAGATCTATTGGTTAAAATTCAAGGGGAACAGATATCATGAGTGCTGTGGAGAGCAGTTTTCATACAAAATGTTGAGACCACTTGGGTGCAAATCATTGTAAACTCCATGGGTGAGTGTGAAATAGATAACTATGCAGACAAATTGGTCAATCTCAGCGTGGTGAGTCCTACTGAGTTGGTTTTGGATGTCTCAAGTTACCTCTCCCTGGCTCTGTTTCTCTCTTCCCCTCTTGTCATGCTTCACGTATCTCCTCTGTACGACCCCACACTCGAGTGTGTATGTTTAGGAGCTCGTGGGGTGGTTGTGAAACAAGTAACGTTTCCCTCTCTGCCCTCTCCAGAATGGACAGAGGAGTGTCCATCTCTCCCACCACCCGCTGCTCCAAACCATGTTTCAAACAACCAAGAGGCAGTTCGGGAGGCACCAGTGCAAGGTAACAACCTTGTTAAACCGGTTGTTGAACTGCAGCAAGCAAGATTTTTCTTGAACAGAATTTCTTCAACCACCAGCAAAGGGAGGATCGGCATCACTAGGGTCATAGGAGCAAGGCACATGCCTGCCGACTATCCCGAGGTTTTTAGAGCGGTGGTCCTGGCTGCTAGATGTGAGGCAAATGAGACTGCCCACACTTCAAGAGGATTGTGGTAGTTTTCTATGGTTTCTAGGTCTTTAAAAGTCATGGTGAAAACAGGAGCTTCCACATCAACAGGATTTAGCAACAGCTGCAAGTGGATGCACATAGATCCCTTTTCTACAGGGCTTTAGGGGCGCACAAGGATTAGGCTTTCGTATCTGCTAAACTCTGAGTCTGTAATGAGAATCATAAAATAAGACCCAGTGCGGGCGTTTCTTCTGTTCACACAAGCTAACCTTTCCTTCCAAAACCCAATAAAAGAGCCTCATCATGCTGCAATGTGATGAAAACACATGTTCATGTTTTAGCTTGAGAGCCCAAGCCGATGTCACATCATGTTTGTACACAGAGGCAGGCACACTGTCAGGTCAAAGCAGTTTTAGCAGCCCTGGCAGCTGGTTGGCATGTCTGAGCGCTGTGATGTGGGCACATCACTGGCACCATTTGGCAGTACCTTAATTTTGAAGAGCTCAAGTGTCCTTCTTGCATTTGTGACTGCCCAAGTAGCTTGTCTAGTTTTGCCAGGGAAGGGTCTGGTTGGTGATTTTATGGTTTTCCTTTTTCGGTTTGTGCCTTGAATCCAATTGAAGAATCGAATTCAAACATTTTTAATGTTGAGGGAGTAGGAGCTGGGGGAATACCAGAAGGGGGATCTTGAAGATCCTCTGCTATTTTGGGAACTTTTATAGAGATAATAGGGGTCTTTGCTCAGTCCTTAGCTGTCCACAGGACCAGAAGGCAAAGAGGCAAAGTGCCTTGCATTGCACGTTGCTTCTGAAAGAGCTCCTGAGTTGAAGCTCGTTAAGTCACCAGCAGCTTTGGGAAGTGCTTTTTCAAAAAGACTTACAGTTTGGGCTCATATCTTGCAGTTTGATTATGGATCTATTTGAAATCTGAACTGAACGTGTGGCCAAGTGCTTTGGCGTAATTGCAACCTTACTGCTTAGTGTCAGTGTCCTGTGTATGGCTGACTGCTCACAGGTCAGTGCCTTGTCTTATCACCTGGACAGAACATATTTTTTTCTTTTATTGATCACATGAGCTGAGACTTTGCCAGATCAGGTTGCCAAAAAGTGCAGAGAGTTTCACTTGTTCCTCTTGCCAGGACGAATGCTCTCTGGTTGTAAGTGATCATAAGTGGGCTTCATTTTTATCTGTGTGTAAATGGTGAGTTTGTAGCATTGCTCTGGTCTGCAGAAACCCAAAGGCTGGGGAAGGTGAAAGAGCTGGGAAATGCTCCTGTGTGTTTGGAGGTGGTCTCCAAAGTTGAGCTCACAGGAGCTTAGATTGTATGAGAGGAATGGGATGGGCAGCAAGGAGAAGCACGGGAGGTTGGGTACGCTGGCATGGATAGAGGATGTGCTAGTATGAAACTGCCCTCAAACAGCTGGTCCACTTCAAGGGATCAGTCGTGAATGTCACATCAGCGTGTTACAGTGAGGCCAGACCCAGGCGTCCATGCACGGGGATGCAATGGGATGGTCACCCCTGGGACGACCTTAGGAGCCATGCCCAGCTCTCCACCCGTTCCTCATGGCTGCCCGTTGACGTTTTGGGGCATTAGCCTGTCTCAGCACCACTCTGCATGACGTGTCCTGGTGCTCACCAGTGTCTCGCCTCTCGCTTTTGCTCTTTTCTCCTCTCCTTTCACGGTGCTGCTCTCTTCTCCTACACACGCTGGGCAGCTGCTGTGTCCAGCTGCCCTTGGACCAGGAATTTCCATCCCTGCCACCAAGGTGAGCACCAGCAACAGAGTACCCACAACAGAGCACTCCCAGTAGAGTTTGGAACAGAAGCTTATCTGAAATGAGACCTCCTGAATGTCCGACACGGGATGTAGCCTATGGGGTGGACTAATGTCTCTGTTTGCCTCTTGCTGCAGGACAAGTTCTCGCTGTGTTGGTAGGCAGATGCCAGCAAGCTTTGCTTGCTTTGCTTGTCTTTTGAACCAAAAAGGAGCCCAGCACAAGTGCTGGGTAATACACGCTCCCTCTTAGCCCTCCTCATTGCTGGACAACCATGCTCCAGACAGCAGGGCTCTTTTGGCAATCAGGGCTCTGAGCAGAGCAGCTGCCCTGAAGTGCAGGATTGTCCTATCCCTGTGCTCCCTGCACAGTAGAAGGTTGCAGTCCTTGCACGGCCCCTTGGAGAAGCATCTCCAGGTGCACTTTCCCCCAGCCCTGTTCCCAAGTGAAGGCTTGGGAGCCTCCACCCCGCAGTGAGGGCTCCCTCCAGGGCTGCTTTCCGCTTCCCTCGCAGCAGCACACGCCGGCACTGCTGGCTGCAGTAGGCACTGCTGATCCTCGAGTTGTCACCAGAGGGCTGAGTGACACAGCTTTTTCTTCTCTAAGCATCAGAAACAATTAGAAGTACAAAGGTGCTTAGTGCTGGCGTTGGGAAGTGCTGCGGGTTTGCAGAGCTCATGGAACGTGCGTTGCGAGGGCTTGGGAATGTCTAATTGCAACTACCAGAGGCCACAGTTGGGCTTTTGCTCGCCCGTTTTACTGCATGGTTGGCCCAATGAAAGGGGTAGACTGGGATGAGACACAAACAGATTGGAGTTTCTAACCCAAAGCACTGCTGTATTTGTCCATACACTTGTTAGAATAGAGAGAGAAAGAAAAACAAACCAGATATTCTTGTCTGCCTATTTATAGATTTTTTTTTTCTGAACTTCCTAAACAGGAAAACCCTTTTTTACCCGAAACCCTTCTGAATTGAAAGGGAAGTTCATCCACACGAAGCTAAGGAAAAGCAGCAGGGGATTCGGCTTCACAGTCGTCGGAGGGGATGAGCCGGATGAATTTCTCCAAATCAAAAGTTTGGTGCTCGACGGCCCCGCAGCGCTGGATGGCAAAATGGAAACAGGTACCCATCCTTAGTTCTGGCTGCGATTAGGCCAGCACAGTGAATTCCTGATAGGAATCACCGGAGGTCACAGATCTGGAGTTATACATGGAATGTCACAACCTTAAACATCCTTGTCTTGTAGCCACAGTATTAATAATAATAATTACTTAATAGGTCTGAGACGTGGTAGATGGCACCTTATTTGAGCAGTTGGTAGTTGAGAGCCTCCTGTTATAACCCTCACGAGCTCCAAGTCTTGTTTCAATCATATGTCAGCGTAGCGCAGTGCGTAACAGTGAGAGCTGGGCTTTGCAATAACTGTTAAATGGGCCATATATTGTCATTTGAACCTATTAATTTTTTGCATGAGCCAAATTGCATTTTCACTGTCAAAAATATTTATGAAAGCATTATGCAGAGAATGCATTGCATACAGATAGTTCTTGCTTGCTCAAGCACGAATGCTCTTTCTCCTTGCTCCCCTTGGAGTAACACCCACGGATACTGCAGATTGGAGTTTTGTGCACAGAAGTGATGCGGCTAAGTGGGTTTGGCTTATCTGCCCGTGTCTTCTGCAGGGGATGTCATAGTCAGCGTGAACGATACCTGCGTGCTGGGCCATACCCATGCTCAAGTGGTGAAAATCTTCCAGTCCATTCCCATCGGTGCCAGCGTGGACCTTGAACTGTGCCGAGGCTACCCTCTGCCTTTCGATCCCGATGATCCCAACACGAGCCTGGTTACGTCCGTGGCAATTTTGGATAAAGAGCCGATCATTGTCAACGGGCAGGAAAATTATGACTCTCCAGCGAGCCACAGTAGTAAAACGGGGAAGGTGAATGGCCCAAAGGAAGCGAGGCCAAGCAGCCCCGCTGAAGTCTCTTCCAATGGCTCCCATAGCTACCCCAACGATACAGTCTCTTTGGCATCTTCAATAGCAACGCAGCCTGAACTCATAACTGTGCATATAGTGAAGGGGCCTATGGGCTTTGGGTTTACTATAGCGGACAGTCCCGGTGGGGGTGGCCAAAGAGTGAAACAAATCGTGGACAGCCCACGGTGCCGAGGCCTGAAGGAGGGCGACCTCATCGTGGAAGTCAACAAGAAGAATGTGCAGAGCCTCACTCACAACCAGGTGGTGGATATGCTGATTGAATGTCCCAAGGGAAGTGAAGTCACGTTGCTGGTGCAGCGAGGAGGTAGGTCTTCAGAATTGCTTGGAAGTGTTCTTTTCTTAGTGTGTGTCATGAAAGGTCTGCTCTTCTAAACCTCCGTTTAGAAATGCTCTGTGTCCTGAGCTGTAGAAACCACCCTCTGTTGACAGTTATGCATGTAGCTCCTATGTGCACGTGCCTGCATGTGTCGTCGGGTAGGTTACTTAAAGACTTTCAATACTAAGAGGTACTAAAGTGTGCTGTATTCTCATGAGTAAGTTGTGTATTTTGGATAAAATATGGTTGGAAGAAAAACGGCAGCTATTATCAGTCATCCCAGAGAATGCATGCGTATCGGGTACCACCACACATTAATTATTTGAATTGTGGCTGACATTTAATAATCCTCTTTATGCCTTGAAGGCTTAATGAAAAGATTTGATGAGGAAATAAAAGTATAGTTTTAATAAGGCAGTAAATAGATCCTTGGTAAAGATGCTGAATCTCCTTTCTTTCATTTAATCAAGATACAAAACCCATATGAGCATTTGGTATTACCTGCTCAGCTCGGGTTTCCTGAACCCCCTTCCTCTGCGGAGGCCCTGATATTTCAGTCTGGTTATAGATTACTTGCACTTCGAACTTCACGTTGCCATGAGACAGTGGTGGATCCACAGTCCACTGCTGATGGATGCCCCTCTCCACGTGCGGGAGGGAGAGAGCGGTTTGGGAAGGTGATTAGCTGAGGTTACGTGGTCACAGGCAGCACGAGCCCAGCTCAGGGAGCCAGCAGTTTGGTACAGGCCCTGAGATGGAGATAAGATGTATTTGGCACTCACAGCTGAAGCGCTTGGGTCGTGTCTCCAGGAACGTCACCTTGCCGTACCCTGCCAAGTCTTTTATCAGAAACACCATCCGCAGACAGCATGTCGCTGTTTATTTTGGTCCTGTTACAGAAAGGCGCTTGGCTCCGGTGTCAGATGAGCTCCTTGAGGGTTCTCCAAGCACTTCTTGAGCTTCCCCGCGAGTTGTCCTTTCCTTCTCCTCCCTCTGGTGTCCAGTGAGGAAAGTGCTGGGAGAGTGTGCAGCACCCGTGCCGTAGCGTGACGTCCCTCCGACGCGCACTCAGAGCCATCCCGAGGATTTGTCAGAAGAGATTACTAATCAGGCAGAAAAACATCAGAAAGAGATGTGTAGAACACAGGAAAAGCTCTGCCTGCTCCGAGTCACTGGTGTACTCTCAGCAAGTAGTTTAATTGTTAAAATGCAAAGCCCACAGCCTCTGACAGCAGCCTGTGAAATATTTAATGTAAAGCATCTTCAGCTTAGGGGAACTGGTGAGTCCTGCCATTGCTTTTGAGCAAGGAGCACAAGGATGGTTTTGAGAAAGGTGCAGCTGAAACGCCTGCGCCCTGCTCCACTGGCTCACCTGAGCATCATCTGCAGCCTCCACAGGCAGGGGATAGATATATTGCTTGAGAGAGGGACAACTGCGGGTCACAGATTTGGCTTTCAAGAGGCTCTGTAGAAAAGCTTTGCTTATCTCTGTTCCATTTTCATTTTCTATTTCAAGTGAAGTGCTTCCCCTTCTCCCCTTCCTCTTGCCCTCTTTAGGGCATCATATTTCCTTGCTATCATTTTCCTGTTTGATCTCTCCGTAGAGCTAGATAAAGTTCACAGGGGATATGTCTCTGTCCAGATGAGGATGAACCCCAGCTGGAGCCTGCAGGCAGGGCTGATCTGGCCTCATGCAAGAGCAGACCCAAAAAGCTGCTTTGCCTTAATGAACCGAAGGGGCTGAGAGAGCAAAATTATTATCAGTATCAGGTGGGAGGCAGAGAAGATACTTAAAGCAAAGAGAGCTCTTGGCTTAAGAGCAAATAGATGTACTTTGGCCATGAATCATTCTAAGCTGGAAACAAGAGAGTGCCAACCCATTAGAGCCTTGGAGGCGTGAGCCTGAAGGTCTGTAAATTTTTGAAGGGGATCTGACATGTCTGCAACGGTGGAAGGGAGACTTGACAACCCAGGAGGTCCACGTGAGGCCTGGAACCTGAAAGTAAATCAGTGCTGCTAGTCACAAAATGCAGAGTTAAGCATATGTTTTTGTCCTTGCCTGATACTGGGCCTTTCAGTTTATTTTAAAGAATCATTGTTAAAAAGGTTGAAAGAAAAGGTACATTCTCTTTTTTTGTACCTTGGTAGCTGCCGCAGTTCTTTTTCTCCTTGAACCTACCAAGTAAACAAAGCGCTATTCTCAATAAAAAAAAAAAAATCTTTTTTTTTATCTCTCAAAATCTATTTTTCACTGAAGACTTGTCTATGCAAAGTAACTGCTTGCAGTAAGTAGTTCTCAATTCTGCTGCATAGATGCTGTTTGGAATCAAAGCAACATTTTGCCAGAATATTTTCCATTTCCCAAATGAATTTTATTCCAGTGTAGTGCAGCTAGGACAGATAGGGGGCAATTCCAGAGAGAGTAGCACTGCAAAATCACTGTGCTCTATTTTATCATGTCCATATGGCCTTAATGTTTATCTCAGAAAATATTTGTGTTTCTTGGTGATATATTTCGCAATTCACCTTAAAGTGCTAAAGCATTGCACTTTTCCCCACTACTACCACCACCCCAATCAGTTTTAGTCCAGTCTTCAGTACAGCCAAGTATATGGTCATCCAGAATTAGTGTGTCTGGCTTGTGGTCAGTCACAAGAACTAAGCTGGGCACTTTTTGTGCGTGTTCAAATGGACTGGGTTTTCCTTCAAAGCTCTCAGGGTTAGTGCTACCTAATTGCATTCGTATGGGCTAGAAGGTCAAAAATAGCATAGACTTTGAGCCTGTTCTGCATCATTCTCTTGAATGATGTTCCCACTTGACCCCAGATCAAAAAGAAGGCTCACAGGTGAAACATCACTTGCTCAACCCCATGTGCAAATCACTGGAGTTTGAGAGCCTTCCCTAGTGTAAATTCGCATTAAACTAGAGAATAGAAATCAGTCTTTTGAGATGTGTGTGATATATATGCTGGAGTTTCAAGTCCATTAGTATTTTGGGCTTGGGCAGAGGAACCTCAGGCACATCTGTGTAAATGCTGTCAGTGGGCCTCAGGTCCGTCTAAAAACGTTTCACAGGTCAGTTGAAGGGAAGATGTTGGTGGGGAGGCCTCTACGAATGGTCTTGTTGATTCGGGCCTCCACTGAAAGGTCCTGGGAAGATCCTTATAAGTCATATACCTTAAAGAGAGATTTGCAGCAATGAAACAAATTTGCATAGCTTTAAAGCAATAAATAAGGTTGGCTTAACTATATGGACTGCTTGTTGCCATTGCAGTGATGCTCGTGGTTTGAGGCTAATTAACCTCTGCGTCTCTTGGGGCGAGAACGCCTGCTGGAGTCAAGTGCTCTGCATCTGAAGGGTCTTTCTGCAGCCCAAGGTGGGAGAACATTTTTCTCCATATTCACACCTTGAAATGTACCACAGGAACACAAAGAAGCATTTCTTTGTGCTGCTGGCTGCAGCTTTCACAGCCAGGGCAGTGAGAGTTAAAAGATCCTTAAGACACAGTGGGAAAACTTTGCAAACAATATATCATAACAGCTGGTAATTGCCTGCTCATTATAGCAGCATCAGGGAATCATTTTGCTCTTTGAGATCTACGTGTCAATGCTGAGGTGGAAGGGAGCAATGACACTGAGCATAAAATATCTGAGTTGAGCGAGATCCATTAAAGCTGTTAACTTCAGAGGACATCTCTGCTCCCTCCTTTCTGCCCCCACCATGAGTGCCTATCGCCTTGACTTTTATGAGCAGAAACACTGTCTTTCTGCATGTTTCTTGAAACATCTTTCCCCCTGTACAAGCAGTGTCATTTTACCTTACTGCCCTTACCAGAAGTGCTGGAAATCAATTGTTAAATGGTAAGAGCCAAACAAAAAAAGTAATACCGAATCTTGCATTGCCGGAATTGGCGCTCCTTCTCAGTTGCAGTCCCCGGTGATGGAGAGGCATGGTAATTAGAGCTGCAACAAGCTATTCAGTGGGGACTTGAACTCTTTTTGAACGAGCCACTCACTTCTGTTTGCCCTTTAGGCTTGCAGTGAAGAGCGAGCTCAAAGTCAGGCCACTTCAGCCTCTGCTGCCAGGAAATTTCAGAGTGTCCCAGCAGCTGCTGAGTTAGAGAAAGAGTGAGGCCGAGCGGCATTGAGGACAAAATCACAACTCGGGAGTCATACGGCCGTTGCCACAGAGCGTGTTGGCCTGTGCCAAAGCTTCTGGAAAGGGAAGAAAAGTTCCCCGTTTCCAACAGTGCTTTCGCTCCTGAGCACAGAGGGAGCAGGATGTTACACTGGGCTCTTTGTGCTGTCCTTGGATCCATAGGCCCCACCGTGGAAATTTGTCCTCACTTAGCTCGCAGCTGCTGGTGCCGGTGGCTTTGCAGGACTGTGGCCCAGGTGGCAGTGATCTTCCAAAGGGTCCCATTGGTGGTGTGCGTCCTTGGGACCGGGAGCCGAGGTGTCCGTGTTCATGCATGTGGGTGCATCTACCCAAGGCGGCCTTGATGCCCCTCTCCCACCACAGCGCAGCTCCAGCTCACCGGCTCCACCACATACTGCATGTGGCCTCCATGTCTACGGAGATGAGAAGAGTGCATCTCCTTTATCATTATTTTATTTTAACAGAGATGATTTTTCTCTTAGATTTCAATCTCCTGCTTGCTCTCAGCCAAAAGGTGGCCCTCATACCCTTCAAGACCCCTCTCATTCATGTCTTCCATGGGCCACGTCTTGAAAATAGTAATTCCCTCCTGTCGGCGTGGCCTTCCACACCTCCCTCCCCAGACCACCACATCAAGGCAGCTCCTTGCCCAGTAGTAAGGAGAATATCTCCTTCCCCTCTGCCATATGGCGTGCTCAGCTCACCTCTCGCTTTTGGAAAACCCCCTTTCACCTCACTTTTTGTTCCCTGCTTCCCTCCTTACCTCCACCACTATCTGTCAAACACCACCAGTCACCAAAGCCTCCCAATACCTTCTGCTCAGGTATCG